CACGAGACGTGCCTTATAGCGGCCGTCGGGCTTGATCACATAAACCCATTTGCATTTTACAATTCTCCGGTTGTTCGGTCTATTGACCAGAATCCATGTGGAATTTTCCTCCTGAGACTTGAGTTCCTCTTTCATCGCGATCTCCCACTGTTTCGCATCTGGGCGAGACATTGCCTCGCGGTACATAGTGGGGTCAGGCTGGTGAGCATGACATATCCATTGGAATAAATTCCGATGGAGTTGATCGTCGACTTCCATTGGAGAGGCTTCACGTTGTTCACGTGCTTCTCGTTCTTCTCGTTGATCACGTTGGATGTCTCATTCCTGTTGACGCCATGCTTCTGTGGGCGGGACGTCACCATAGCTGTTATTGGGAACACGGCGTTGGCCTGCATTCTCGCGCTGTGGTCTGGCTGGGTGTGGCACAGGTTGTGGTTTGAGATTCCATCGTTGCCTAATATCAGGAGCAGGTGGTGCTGCCTGACGAGATGGACCGGCTTGTCTGCTCTGACAAGGACAATATTGTTCTCTCTGAGGTGGAGGTTGTCCAGGAGGTGGACCGGGAACAAATGGTATCTCCGGATGTTCGTATGGTTCCGGAGTTGGGCTTCGATATTGTTCATAACGATCGGCTGGATCGTTATTGACTTCGTCATCATCCTCTTGTTGCGGTTCATCTTGCCGCGGTTGTGGATGTGTGTTGTCTGGGGGTTGATTGTCAGGTGTGAAGTCATCCGAACTAGTAGGGTCCGGGTTCGGCAGGTCAGGTAGGTCAGGTGGAATTGGATCTTGAGACGTTTCAGGCTCACGAGGCCTTTCGTCTCGTTTGGGGAAGGAGGATTCATCGAAGGTGACGTCGCGTGACACAACGATGGTCCGAGCAGTTGGATCCCAGAACCGGTAACCCTTGGTACCGATTTCATACCCGACGAAGATCATTACTTTAGCTTTTGGCTGTAGCTTATTGACGCTCGCATCCTTATGTGTGTGGACATAGGCTTTACAGCCCCATACTCGAAAGTATGATACGTCCGGAACAGTGCCGTTCAATTTAGTGATGGGCGGCTTCCATTGGTGACGGCGCAGAGGTTGTCGATTGTATCTATGTACTGCGGTTTCTGATGCTAGCTTCCAGAACCCAGACGTCATGCCAGCGTGATGTCGCATAGCTTCTGCCTTATTTTGAATGGTCTGTTGCCAGCGTTCTGCTCTGCCATTCTGTTGTGGTGTTCGCGCCACTGAGAGTTGACGCTCTATTCCGCGTTCTGCTAGGAAATTGTTGAATTCACGTCCTAAAAACTCCCCCCACGGTCCGAACGTATAGCCTCGAGCTTGCGCTCGGCCTGTGTTTCTGTCCAAGCGACGAATTGCTTGAAGGCAGAGAAGGCGTCAGACTTCCGTTTCAGATACCAGACCAAACCAAATGAGGAATAGTCGTCGAGGGTGGTAAGGGCAAACTTGTACCCGTCAAGTGATAACGACAGATATTTGACAAGATCCATGTGAATTAAGTTGAGGGGATGTTCCACACAACTATCAGACGCAGGAAATGCATCGCGACGAGATTTCCCGAATTCGCACCCATCACAGGGAGTATCCCTGGTTGGAGCTGAGATCTTATCCGGGACGCCTTTGACATTGCCAGGCAGTTGAACAACTGATTTCTTCCCGGCATGTCCAAAGCGACAGTGCCACAAGGTATATGGATCGTCGGATTTGACTGACATTAATGTTCCTGGCTTAATCCCGCTGGTCCTGGTGAGGACTTCAGCTTCTAGCCAATATAAACCTGACGACTTTTCATATTCGCCCTCCATCAAAACTGTCCGCTGTGCTGGGTCTGACCCGCGGAGTAACTTAAACTTCTTGCCATCCATCTCAATACGGTGACCATTATTGAGTGGCATTCTGGGCGCAAAGAACCGTTCTGCTGCTTCCGGTACGTATAATATGGTTTCTAACCGGATATGCTGAACTTGTCCATCTGTAAGACGATGTTGCAGAGCGATTTCACCGTGACCTTTGATTTCGATAGTCTGACCTTTGCCGGCCGTGTGTGTATGACCTGGCTTAGGGAATTCATGGTACCAAATAAAGTCAGTTTTGTACGGTGTGACATGTGTTGTGCAACCGCTGTCGACCATCCACTTAGACTTGACACCCGTAGCATAAAGAGAAACAGAGATTGATTCTTCCTTGATCTTAGCTACTAGTGGTACATCGACTATGCATATAGTATTAACTGTCTGAGTGGTCATCGCGGTATTGTCCTTCGCTTTGCCCTTTCTTTTTCCCTTCTTGTGCTTTCCGCCACCCTGCTGCTGCTGCTGCGTGTTGTTGCCATTACCGGAACTCGAGCCAGAATTTGCCGGCTTTGTGTCCCAGTGCTGCTCCGTCGTGTGATTCTTGCGACCACACTTCTCACATTTCTTGTTCAGGAGGGGCGCCTTCGAGATGCGCGCAATCTGAGTGCGGTTCGCGACGCGGCGCTGTTCTTCCTCGACAATCTTGGGCTTGATGAGCGCTGCTGTGAGCAGCGTAACATCAGTCTGTGTAGTGAGAATGGTACCAGCGATGGTCTGGTATGACTTGGGGAGAGCATTGATCATAAGCAGAGCAAGGAGCTGAGGTTTGACCTCTATTCCCGCCGCGTTGACCTGGTTGGACTGCTCTGTGAGTGCGTCGAGTTGCGGGCCGAGCGCAGAGCTGTCAGAAAGCTGTGCATTGAACAGCTTCTGGAAGGCGACGAATGCGCCTACCACTCCGGGTTTCTCATAGCCGGCTTTGATTGCGGTCCATGTGTCCAGAGCCAAGAACTTGTCATCGACAAGATGACAAAGGTTCTGCGCGACGTAGAGCTGAATAATGCCCAGCACCTTGTCATTTTTCTCATCCCATGCAGCTTGAGCTAAAATTTCTGTAGCCGTGGGTGTACCTGTCGCAGCTATTGCTCTGGCAAGACCAGGGACAGGAACAGTTGCTGTGGAGCCGTATCTCTGGATCAAGTACCAGACACCCTGGTAGCGCAGGAAGGCTCGGATCGCGTCGGACCACTTTTTATAGTTGGTGCCGTCGAATTGCGGGATGGTAGATGTGGCGAGCTTGGTCGGGTCAGAAGGGGATGACATTGTTATCGTGTACGAAGAGGAGGCGAGTGTATGCGTAGAGAGTTTCACGTTCCTTTGGAGTTAATCTGACGTTGTAAAAGAATTCACTGAGATCGAGCTCGTATGATTCGGCTCGTGTCGCTCAAAGTGATTCCCAATCTTCTTCCAAGAATGCGAGATCGTATTGCTGATGGATTGGTCTATAGTATAGATCTTCCGCAATGTCTTCCTGGTCAAGATAACAAGCGTACGGTTCCGAATATGTGTCGGAGCTTGTTGGAAAGAAGATATGGATTATGTCGTTGTCATGGTTTGTTAACTCTGCTAAAGCGTTATAGCTCGGCGGTTCTTGGACGTATTTGAAGTAATATGGGGTTAACAACACTTCAACGTATTGTTCGTGTGCTGTTAATGATTCCCACTCTGTTTCTATGTCGTCTATGATATTCAGTCGCTGTCTGAATTCTGCGACGGATTCCTGTTTTGTCTCTACGGTTTCAGGTACCGTATTTGTCTCTTGAGAGGTAATGGTTGTGAACGCTGTTGAGCGAACCACTTATCCCAGCTAAGCTGATTTAGCCGAGAGGTAGATAGAGTTGGGATTGGACAAAGGGACCAGTTAAACTACGACTTTTGTTGTCGCTTAGGATAAACACACAGTAGTCAGGTTTCCGAGTAGAACTTTTCTCTGATTCTTACAATAGTGTTGTATACAAAGTATCTACTTGTTCTCGTAAAACCTAACCGCGTCAAAATATCCGTTCACGTAAACTGCGCTAAGCGCTTGTACAATCCGGGCTTTGTTCTTGCGTAGCCCTTTGAACGAGATATCCCCTATTTCTCTGCACCCTAATTTCCACTTGCGCCACTCTCCGTATTTGACAACGTTGCAGACGTCCGCTAGGCAGCGCTTAATGCGCGTAAGCTGCTCAATGAGTCGGCAGAGATTGCGGACTCGGTCGGAGTTGAGATCGTCGAGCTCGAGGGTCCCGAAGACGTCGAGGCGTTTGAGCGTGCCGTCGAACTTCGGTGTAAGGATGCAGACGAGGTCGGTGGGAGTGTGCTTGTCGAAGTCGATGAGTACCGGCTTCGGGGCTATTGGCGTATGTGTCGCCGGTGGGATGGCAGCAAGGCGCTGCTCGAGTGTCAGCTTTGACGGACCGGCGAGGATCCGTTCGCGCGCCTGTTGGATTTCGCGTGCAGCTAGACGCTGCTCGAAATCGGCCTTGTCGGTCGCGTAGCGCTCGCGGAACTGTTCGCAACGTAGGTGCCTACCCTCGTGTGAGTTCAGAGGGAACGGGAGAGTTAGCACTGGAGTCGGCGGGCGTAGTTCTTTGCCGTGGCATTTACTGTACGGGACCGTCTCGACGGGGTCGTTGGCGTTGCCGGAGGCGGGCGCGTAGCCGGCGGAGTGCTTGTACCGTAGGAAAACAGAGTGAGGAGGACGAGCGGGCAAATCCTTTGGCACTAGAAATTACGCAGGAATGAACGCGTGAGCGCTCCGTCTGCCACTAGCACGCAACGAGACTTACTCGTAAACTGCGTGGATAAACTTTTTTTAAACTGGGTGAAGGGGACCGAGGTTTCCCGAGGGGTCTTCTTCAGCAATGAGACTAGTAAAGTGGGGGTAGAGTGGCCGTGAGGCCGGGGCTCATAACCTGTTAAAGTGCGACTGAACTCTTGCTTTATTCTGTGCTACAGGGCCAGTATATATACATGTGAGTCAGGACCTCTGATACCGCTATAAGACCTATGGTACTGTGAGCGTAAGCATGTATACTAAGCATGAGTAATCAGATGTCGTATTACTACAAGATAATAGAGGGGTCATGTGATGATATCCCCGTTAGTCCGTTTAGGGCAATGATGTAATCGCCCAGTTCTGACAAACCTGACAGATTCCGACCATGAAACATGCTCTAGCAAAGTGAGATATATCGCCTACAAAAACATAAACGTGTTATATCGTCATTCTTGCCGGCGGCGAGGGCACCGCTTGCAGAAGAAGAGCAAAGACCAGAAAGGAGAGCGTTTAGCTGCTTAATCCTTGCGTGCTGAGGCAGGGAGGCGGAAGCAAGAGACATGTTAGGAAAAATGTACCTGGGAAGCTACAGAACCACGATAACAACTTCCTAGAGGTAGGACTGCTGCTTATAGAGTGATTGAAGGGGAAGATGTGGCTATGAGAGTGACGAGTGGAAGCCGCTGGAGAATGTTGCCAGCGATATCTGTTCGGGTTCTCGAGCATCAAACCGCGTACAAGAGTGGCAAAAATGGGTCCACCCTGGCGAAGGGATCGGAGAGGACATGGTAGGGACAGTCACGGACGTGCAGACAGGTGCAGACACCACTGGAGAAGGACTTGGCGGAGATTTCGGGCCAATGCCGGAGCCCTGGGGCTCATACGAAAGGGAAAGCATGTGAATATGTGCTTATCTCGCGTCCTGGTGCACTTTATGACCCGCGACAAATACTCGTAAGCAGTGTATAACGAGGTTCGAAGCTGCAGCAGATGCTCACCGGCGCCCCTCGCGAGCGCCAGAGCTGTAAGAGCAGGAGGTGCCGAGGAGGTGGTTGCGCAGTGGATTGGCGACTGGCAGCCAGCGTACGTCTGCTGTATGGTCCTCATCAGAATTGAGGACAGCTCGGGGAATTCTACGCGTGCAGGTGCAAGCTTCTGCTATTCTTGCACAAGGAGCGCGTAGCGGTCTAAACGAGCCACGGCGGCGACGCACGGAAGCTTATGCGTTACGCGTGACGTTACCGATCGCGTTCACATGATTGCGAGACGAGCCAAATACGCGCACACAACTCAACGGCGCGCAACCACGTGGACGACGCTTACGC